TGGAGGATTCTACAAGGCTGGGTGACTAGAATTTCGTGATTGTTTAGAATTGGAAGGCAGATCCAAAGCCAGCATTACCTAGAGTGATTATTTGGCCCTTTCATAGCCGTATATTGCCTATCTCGTGTCTGAGCCCAAATCCTTGACTAAAAGTGAAAGCTCTGAAATATATTAACATGGCAGAACATTAGCTTCTGCCAACCCAAAAGCTAAGGCTGTCATCCGAAAACATAAGAAATCGACAGCAGAGGCTTGGCACCTGAGGTCCCCAACAAAGTATTTGTTAAATCCTTTTGGAATGTACAAACTATTTATTAGCTTCCACTGACATGAAGGCTAAGAATGTCATCAGCGATTTCCCCAAATTTTTTAACCCACCTACCTGATCATACGTGCAAGTTTATTTTAAAAATACTTTATGGATTCTGTTACTGTAAAAACGGCATGGAACTCATCACGTTGAAACATGGTATTTAAACCATAGTCACTCATATTTGACTCCAGACTAAGCTATCTCTTAGCCCTTTAAGGTGATAGCTGTGTTTTTGTTGGAGCACACTGAACAGCATGCCTTTTGCTCTGTGGTCCAAAGAGCCAAGCTCTCACCCCTTAACCTCACCTCCCCACCTGTTGGCAACACCCGTATGGGCAAACATTTCACCTTGTTGCTGCTCCTGGGTTTCACGATGACCCTCAGGGAACCAGGCTGATCCATGGAGGCTTTGAAGCAGCCATACAACAATTCCAATTGCTTGCTGCTGAAGCAAATTGAAGCTCCTGAAGGAGACGGTAGAGCAGCAGCCATGACAACCGCAGTGGAGCTGCAGGAGTGGCGGAGTGGAGCTGTGGGGACAGCAGAGGGATGGCAGGAGCTGGCAGTGGGTGAGTAGCAGAGAATTGATGGTGGTAGCAACTGTAACATCAATGAGGACATCATGAAAAACAGCAAAGCATTGCAGTGGCCACAGTCACGACAGTGGTCATAGCAACAGAGGCAGTTGCAAAGTCAGAGGGTAGCTGGGGCAGAAACCAGAACATCAGGAATAAAGAGTGTGTGCAGAGCTGAGGCTGAAGGATGGAAGGCTGTAAAGAGCCAGGAAAAAGCTAAAGGCTGCTTTTCAGAGACTTGAGAGTGAAGGGTCTCAGACACCCTACACCCAGGAGCTGTAACACTAGTGCTAGGAAAGGCGTGGAATTCTGACACTCTAGACCGATATATAAGAGCTGTAACAATTGTCATTGTAGGACTCAGGGTCCCAAGTCCTACACAGATGTAACACTAGAGGGCGCAACTTGTTGCTGCTCATGCCCTGTGCTGCCATAACCTCACTGTTAGCATAAACTAAGGGACACAAAAGCCATCGAAACCAGACAGCCCTTGAAGAACCTTTTGTCTCCTCATGATTTTTATACAGTTAAAGCCAAGGGCCTCAGCCTGATGCGTGGTAATACCAACCTATTCAAGGTCATTAGCTGTGCTGCAACAGCCAAAGATCAACGGTGACCAATGGTAGCTGCAGATGTGGGTGGGACTGAAGAGACAGAGCTAAGCAGACTGTCCCTGAGAAACTGCCAGCTGGCAGAAGAGGCTGACCCACAAGTCAGGATCCATTGAGCCTGGAAAGTAAGGTGAAAGGTGTGTGTGTGTGTGTGTGTGTGTGTGTGTGTGTGTGTGTGTGTGTGTAGAAGGGATGCAAAGACACAGAGAGAAGCTAGTGACTCACTGTGGCTCCCCTAATCTCAAAGGTGCTGAGAGAGAAAACTCAGTGACAAGTAATTTAAAGAGAAATCTGTGCCTTTTCCCAAAGGCCAGACTCCAGAATACCCGACTGTCCAGGTCACGGCGGCTTTCACAATGGGGAACACCAGCTCATGCACATATTTGTTGGTATTGCCAAAAGTAAAGGGCAAAGTTTTCTGGAGGGAATGATTGTTTACAGAAAAGGCTTCACTGGCTTGGGGCTGCTGGTATAAAGCTGGCCATCACTTCTCATTTTAGTTGCTATTAGAATATAAAGTAGTTATTTGTTATTTTGGGGGTTTTGTCTGTCTGTTTTTGAGGTAAGGTCTTTCTGCTACCAAAGTTTCCTAGTAACATAGCAAGGCTAGACAGGGGTCTGAGAACTGCCTGGCCAGGACCAGTGTGGCCATAGTGGTGGTGAGGAATTTTTCTGTCTGCCCTCTGAGGATGCCACTGGCCAGGCAGGCAACACATTCTTTCTTAGATCTTCTTTCTGGGCCACTTATCAGAAAGTACCCAGAAATAAGGAGATTCATGTAAGATGAATTGCTGAATGGTCTTATTAATAAAAAAAACAACCTGGAGCCAGATATTGGGGTGAAACTTGGAAGATCAGAGAAACAGAACAAGCCACAGCCAACCTCACCACACCAACTCCTCAGCCTCCAGAGCGAGACTTCCTGTTTACTCATGCCTTATATACCTTTCTGTGTCCTGCCATATTACCTCCTGGGATTAAAGGCCTGTGTGTTTCCCAAGCAAAGGCATGAGATCTCAAGTGTTGGGATTAAAAGTGTGTGCCACCATGCCTGGCTCTGTCCCTAGTGTGGCCTTGAATTCACAGAGATCTGGATGGATCTCTGCCTCCTGAGTGATAGGATTAATGACAGGGTTAAAGGTGTGTGCCATCACTGCCTGACCTCTGTGTCTAATTTGGTGACTGGCTCTGTTCTCTGATCCCCAGGTAAGTTTTATTGGGGTGCGCAAATAAAATATCACCACAGACCCACTTTGAACTGCCGAGCCAGCTCTCCAGTTCTTCTCCCGTTTTAAAATAAACTGATTCTGTTTCCATTTCTGGCCTTGTGTCCCTGTTGCAACGCTTGGTCCTGAGATACAAGAACTCACTGAACTCAGATCTGTGGTTTGGCACGAAGCATTTGTTTTCTTTTCCTTCTCTTTTGTGCACCTCAACATTTGTGTGTGTGTGCATCTTACACCCACTACTGTACAGGAGTTCACAACTAGAAGAGGGCTGGTGTGGCTGGTCCTGGCAGAGCCTTCACCAGCCATTGTTGGTGCTGAATCCTCACCCCATGTTCTCCACTGAGTGTTGGCCAAAAGCCTAACCATGCTTGCCCTGATAGTCTGGGCTTTCTCAGGGTTCCTATCACTTCTATGTCGAAAGGCATGGCTTTTCACCTCCCTCCTGCCCGCTCAAGTTTGCCTAAAGCATGGCTTATGGGGAGAAGATTGCAGAAATCCAGGTAAACATCCTACACAAACACATCATATATCTTCACCAATGAGCTAATGCCAAATCCTGCAGCAAGCTCTTTTAACAGATGGTTTGTGTGAACTTCCCTTTGGTCACCTGATCATCAGATATGCTATGATTAGTCAGGCCAAGCATGGCCAGATGGCAATGCTCTCCTAGGTCCACAGAAGCGCTCTCTCTCTCTCTCTCTCTCTCTCTCTCTCTCTCTCTCTCTGGGTTTGGTTTTTCGAGACAGGATTTCTCTGTGTAGCTTTGGAGCCTGTCCTGGAACTCACTCTATAGACCATGCTGGCCTTGAACTCACAGAGATCCACCTGCCTCTGCCTCCCGAGTGCTGGGATTAAAGGTATGTGCCACCACCACCCGGCCACAAAAGCTCTTTGACTCCTGAGAGCGTGAGTCTGCTTTAGGTTGACAACCATTGGATTGAATGGTTGTGTTTACAGTAGGCTTTCTCCCTCCATTGGTTTACACTGGGAACATTCACAAAGATTAAACTTCAACATTTGTGTGTGCATCTTACAACCCAGCACTCTTTTGGGCTACCCACTACTGTACAGGAGTTCACAACTAGAAGAGGGCTGGTGTGGCTGGCCCTGGCAGAGCCTTCACCAGCCATGGTTGGTGCTGAATCCTCACCCCATGTTCTCCACTGAGTGTTGCCGTGACTGTTCCCCCATCAGTTTCCTGTGAGTCTTGAACTTATGGGGGTGTGGTAGTGACAGGGAAGGTATGTGGAGAGACAAGTAACCAGAGTGTGGGAGTAAACTTTAACAATGCACAGCCAAGTGCATTGGCACATGCCTGTATTCTCAACACTTGGAAGACAAAGGCAGAAGGGTCAGAATTCAAGGCCATCCTGAGCTACATGGCAAATTTGGTGCCAGCCCAGGCTACATGAGACTGTCTCAAACACCACACCCATAACAGACACAAATGTGCAGCCAACAGAACAAGTGACGAGAAAAGGAGGGGGTGGCATGACAGGTCTGTAGAATGAGATGGAGGCAAAAGTGAGCAACCAGGGAGCAGGGGTGGGGTCTGCTGGCAGGGCTCCTGTAGGTAGACACTGCCAGGTTGCTCTCAGCGGAATCATCCAAAGAGCCATCCCACCTGCAGCCTTGGGGTGGGGTGGGGGGGCTTATCAGGAAGTAGCTAATGAGGCAAGGGCAAAACCCTTTCTTTCCTTTGATGACCTTAGCACTGTCTGCAGCTGAGGAAGGCATGGTCCAGTTCTTCCTCTCACCCCCATCCTGCAGTCTCATTGTCCCTCGGGATCAACACAGAGGTGTCCAATGAGTTAGTTCTCTGTCACACACAGGCTAGGCAGTGTCCAAAGACCCAGGAGGGGACCACAGAGTTGAGAGGAGCTGGAGGACAGGTGGGCAAATGCTACCAAGAGTTCTTGAAGCAAACCAGGTCAGAGCTGAGAGTGACAGACTGATTTATTTACTTGACATGATCTTGTCAGCCAGCCTGGCTTGAAACTCATGATCCTCCTACCTCGGCTTCCCTGGCATTACAAGAAAAGTTCAAAATTACACTCTCAAGGGCAGTTTCTGAGTAAGCCCGAGGGCTCTAACCAGGCCGAGAGCGACCGCGACGAAACCTGTAACTCCAAACCCGGAACCGCATCTGAGCGGAGCCTTCCGAAGCAGCCACATTTCCCTGGCTACGGGTCGGCACCGAATGATGACGTAGCACGAGCCTGCTGCGACTTGGAGCGAAGGAAGGAGAGCGGCTTGGAGGGATGACGTCACGCTCCAGGATGGGTCGAGGGAGGTGGGGCCGACTTCTCCAGCCTGCCCCGCCCTCAGACACCCGGACACTCCTGATCAACAGAGTGCGCAGGACGCCGGGGTGACTAGCACCGGGGACCCCAAGCTGGATCCCGGCGGTGAGGACATGCGGGACCCGGGAGGTTCAGGGAAGGACGGGGGCCTGCTGGAGTTTGCACTCTGCCCGGAGGTCATGCTCTCCAATGAAAGAGCTGACTGCAGCTTTTAGAATCTGCAGGGGGCTCTCTTAAGACAGAATTTGAGCAAAGTTAGCTGTAGATTGAATTTGTTTGTAGTGTTTACGGACTACACTGGGCCTGGGCAGGAAGTACTATTCGTACTTCTCAGGTGCATTGAACTCTGGACTTGAATTCTTAGGAAGTGGACTGCCACTGTACACCCGAGACCTTAATTCTCCCTAACGGTCTCAGTTGTCCAGGCTGGCTTTGAACTCGATTCTCCTGGCCCATGAGTCTTGGCCGTAGTCAGGACAGTAGACTAGTGCATTATGCCCGGTGTGAAACTGAATTTGTAAAGCAGAAACAAGAGGAACAGAGACTAGAAACAGACTGGTGAGGGTGCAGTCACCAGCTACTTTGTTGAAGAGTGAAGCAGAGAGGAATCTCCCAGGCGGCCTAAAAGTTTCAGTCTGATAATGCAACGTGTAATGTTAGTGTTGATTGGGTCTGGTCTGTTGGGGCTGTACATACAGGACTTCAGACCAAAACTAAGGCCTCGTGTTTTATTTTAAATAGAGGGAAAGACTGGAGGAAACTGTGTCAGAACAATGATATCGAAGCTGCCATTTACCCCAGAAAGCATCCCAAGTGCCTGATTTGCATCCCAGGAACCTTCTAGGCAGATATTGTCCTGTGTGCCCACATCCTTGCTTCTGAGAAACAGGTGGTGCAGCAACTCGGTAAGGTTGCTGGACTGGTAAACTGTATCATTGGGATTGGAGCCAAGGCAACCTGGCTCTGCGGGCTGTGTTTGTGACATCTGTACCACAGTGTAGTTGTGTTGGTGACCTCTGGTGGCACGGGACCTCTGGGAGTTGGCGAGGATCTGGGATCTAGAGCAACACATGTTGCTCCTTTGCCACAGATGTTTTTAATTAAGAAATCCACTTTCTCTTGTTGCCTGTGATGGCCTGTATTAGTCAGCGTTCTCTAAAGGAAAATAACTGATCGCATGAATATAAAGGAAGGGGTCTAGCAGGCCCAAGCATGGCAAACATGATGCCAACAGGTTTTGCCTTTCACTATCCTCCCTGTTGTTAAGAAACAAGGTCTATACCCTTATTTGGCCACCTGCTTCCCCTGAGGCTGACCACCAAGATCCAGCTATCAAAGTATTGAAGTCCAGCAATCAAAAGCCCCCTTTTGACTACCCTAATTAACCTGTCCAATCAAAATAAACACCTCATCCTAACACAGGGTTTCCCTTTTACCCTTTATAAACTGCCATTTGCCTATGGGCCACATCCGTATCCTCTCTATCCCTTTCCCCTCTCCCTTGCCCCTTTTCTCCCCTCTCTCTTGTCTCCTATCCCCTGTCTTTGTCCCTCTGGGCAAATAAACCTCCTTTGTGTTGAGAACTTGGTCTTGGTGTGTCCTGTGCCGATGGCAGTCCTTTCAATAGATATTCATATATATATATATATATATATATATATATATATGTAAACTAAATATATAATTTATTAGATTGGCTTACAAGATGTAGCCTAGATAGTATAACAATGGCTGTCTCTGAGATCCAGTAGCTGCTCTAGCCACAAGGCTGGATAGCTCAGCAGTCCCAGTTTGGGGTTGTAGTCCTGGAGGATTCCTGGGGAGCTCCTGGTTTAATCTTTGTTGGAATCCTGAAAAAGCTGGTTCTAGTGCTGGGGAAGGAATGCCTCAGCAACAGGGTAGATGAACTTGCCAGTGAGAGTGAGAGCAAGCAGGCAAAAAGAAGTTTCCTTCCATGTCCCTTTATCTGGGAGGTGCACCAGAAGGGCCTCTCTTGCTTCAGATGATCTGAACAGGAATGACCAGAGGTTTGCGTTTGAGTGGATTGTAGATGCACTCAAGCTGGCAGTCAGGATTAGCCATCACATGCCTTAGCCAAGAATATTTTGTAAAGCTGAGATTACAGAGATTGGCTTCCCCATCATCTTCTGAGAGTTTGATAAGATTACAGAGATTGGCTTCCCCATCATCTTCTGAGAGTTTGATAAGATTACAGAGATTGGCTTCTCCATCATCTTCTGAGAGTTTGATAAGATTGCAGAGATTGGCTTCCCCATCATCTTCTGAGAGTTTGATAAGATTACAGAGATTGGCTACCCCATCATCTTCTGAGAGTTTGATAAGATTACAGAGATTGGCTTCTCCATCATCTTCTGAGAGTTTGATAAAATTACAGAGATTGACTTCTCCATCATCTTCTGAGAGTTTGATAAGATTACAGAGATTGGCTTCCCCATCATCTTCTGAGAGTTTGATAGGTCTAGTTTGTACATGTGGGTCTATGTCATGGCGAGGTAGTGTTTGTGTCTGTGAGAACCTTGTCCTTTCACAAGGAGCTCTCCACAGTTGTTGGAAGGACTGCTGCTCCTCACTGAATTACTGTGGTGTGCTAGGTCAGGAGCCAATGGCAGCATGTGCAAAGGTTGCTTTTCTTCAGTCATGGTCTCATGTAGCCCAGTCTGCCTCAGAAGTGCTGAGATTACAGGTGTACAGCACATTCCTGGTATGGGATGTGTGTGTGTGTGTGTGTGTGTGTGTGTGTGTGTGTGTGTGTGTGTGTGTAATATATCATATATATTTTATGTGTGTGTTCACCTGTGTGTATGTATATACACCATGTGGGTAGGACATCTTTTGGAATGATCTCTGTAACGTGCCATTTACCTATGTTCCAGACTTCTCTGGATTTTAGTATGTGTCTCTTGTTTGGTGGTGTTCTTGTTGATGTATTTCATCTTGTCTAGGTCATTATACTTTATTCCTCCTGGACAATATTTGGTAATCATTCCTATTTTATATAGTTTTGTATTAGGTCAGAACTTTCTTTTTAGACAAAAGCGGGGAGATGTAGTGGGTAGCTGTTCCAGCCTTGACCTTGAAACGCTGCCCCTAGTGTGACAGCAAGTAACTGCCACACTTGCCTATGACCTGCCCCTGGGGCGTGGTCGAGAGGAGACCCCTTAAGACCCAAGGTGTGTACATGTTTTGTTCTCTCTCTCTCTCTCTCTCTCTCTCTCTCTCTCTCTCTCTCTCTCTCTATCCCTTGTGGTCCTGGAGGCTGGACTGTACCTCATCTCACCTGGATCCTGTAACCGACCTCTTCTTGGCTCTAAGCTACCCCAGAAATAAACCTCTCTTGATTACCAGATAAACTCCGTGGAATTGCCTTGTTAATTATAGCGATACTAGAAACCAAATCCATGTCCTCTGCAAGAATAGGAAGCGCTTCTAAACTCTGGGCCGGCCATCTCTCCAGCCCTGGCTTCGTTGTTTTAGCCCGTACATTCCCTTTTAACCTTGTGTCCTTTTCCGCTGTAGCCTATGTGGATAGCTGGTAGTTTTCTCCATGGCCTCTTTCCTCTTACTGTCTCCGTGAGCTAACTCCCACTTCTGTGTTCCTGGAGTGCCTCTGGTTTGTGATGGGTCCTGATGTCCCCTCTGTCTCCTGACCAGGATCTGAGCTTTCTCTTTCCTGGGAGCAGATGGTGGAAGTTTTCGGTCCTGTCAGTCTTTACAGGGACATGGTTTTATCCCTGGACTTACTCTCTTCTCCTCCCCTCGCCTCTCCTTTGGGCTCTTGCTCGTCTTTGACTGTGTTTCCTCCCTTGCAGAGGCCTTGGATTTAGTGGCTCATGTTTCTGTGGGGACCACTTTCTTGGCTCAGAGTTGAGGAGGGTCTTGTAGGACTTGATCTGTGAGGGCAGGTGCTCAGCCATGCTATGTCCCTGCTCTCCCTGCCACATGACTAGCACTGTGATCTCCCCTGGAGTCCAGCCCTGGATCATTTCAACAGTCCTCTCAGTGGATCCCAAAGGTGCTTGGGCCTCCTTGCCTGGATATGACTCTCAGATTCTCATTGGCCAGAGCATAGGTCCTTTGCCTCTATGCCATGATGAATCAGATCTCTGCAAGAGGACCCAGTTTATCCAGAGAATTCCAGAACAGTCCTTTGGTGAAAAGCACCTACCTGCTCTGTGAGTGGGATGCCTAAGTGTTGAGTATAGACCAACAGTACAGACCAACAGGAGTCACAGCTTCTGTGTCCAGTGGCCTATGTCCGAGTGAGCAGGGACATCGTGTGTTGTAAATGGCCAGATTCCAGAGGGGAAGCTCCCTGGCTCTGAGCCTAGTGATCCATGAGGGACTTGAACTTCCTGCTACCCCAAAGACCACAGTGTCCTTAGGCAGGCAGTTGTAACAAGAGAGTGAGCCGCAGGCGGGACTGTCCACAGCTACCTGGCTTGTCACGGCCTGTTTACCTGGCCCTCCTTCCCACCCTTCTGCAGATGGTTCGGCTCGCCTTGTGTCCTCACTGCCTATTCAGGAGGGCGGTCCAGGAGGGGAGTGCTGCCTCACCCTCCCTTCTGGACATCGGTGCCTCCATGCTGATGCTCTGCCTCCTCTGCTGCTGTTGCTTTGGAGCTGCTGGCTTGGCTCTTGTTCTGACATGGTATGGCTGTTCACAGGGGTGTCACGTGGCAGGTTTGGTTCTCTGTGCAGGTTGACAATACCATGGGATCCACCCCAGAAGGAAGAGATGGTGCTTTATGGCCAGACACCCCCAAGGGCCCCCTGAGTGCCTACCGAGCAAGAGCTTCCTTCAGCTCCAAGGAGCTGCTGCTCTTCTGGGATGGCGAAGATGTGCTCCAGTTCAAGGTGAGGTCCGCAGGGAGTCTGGTTGTGTCTTTATTCCCCGACAGAAGTGACATTGAAGTTCTGAAGCCCGGTGGCTTTTCTGGCCCTGAAGCTCTGTAGGATGGGTAGGTCTTGGGACAGTGTGGGTCTGTCTCCTCTGACCCCACGTTGGGCCCCAGGATGCCAGAAGGAAGGAGTGGACAAGATTTTGGAATTCCTGTGTCCTCTCAACTGGGATGGATGCTCTCATCTGGGGGATTCCGGGTCAGACTGGGTCCCAGGCAGCCACGGCCCCGAGAGAAAACAAAGACATAAGAGCACGTGAAACCCCACCTTTGGCCTTCAAGGTGGCACCCTGTCCGCTGTGTTACAGAAAACCATCTTCGAGGCTTTGGAGAATGACCCTCTCTTTGCCCGCTCGTATGGGACCGATCTGCCTCTAGAGAAGCAGCGGGAACTGAACTTCCTTCGTTGCAAGCGGATCTTCGAGTATGGCTTCTTCCACATGGACGACCTGTTGAAGGAACCCCTGAAGATCCCAGCGTTGATTACCTGCCTGGGCATGTACGACTGGTCCCTGGCTAACAAATGTGTCCTCCACATGTTGGTGAGTGTGTGGTAGAGAGCAGGGAACCCATGTCCACCCAGGGCCACACACATCAGGCAGAAACTGCAGCCACATTGGCTCCTAAAATATTCAGGATTTAAGATTCAGTGACAAGACCAGATTTTCAGCTTTCGGTGCAGATTTGTACCCATGGGTTCTTGGATAAAATATATTTATCCAAAATGTACAGTCCCGTAGGGAGAGGTGAGGTGAAGAGTGTGCGGGGTAGGTGTGAGGTGTGCCTGCCCTGAGCCAGAAACAGCAAGACCCCCCCCCACCTCTGCCCCTACCCTACCCCCACCCTCACCCCCACCCCCACTCCCACCCTACCTGAAATGTGTTACATTTCAGGTTTTTGGATCCACAATTTTCAGTTCTGGTTCTGAGCAGCGTTTCAAGTACCTTAAGAAGATCTATAACATGGAGGTGAGTCGCCCATGGTGAGCTGTGAGACCAGTGCCATCACCACACTTAGCCGTGGACAGGCAGGCCACAGGAGAGGCCTGGGAGGCCAGGCCCTGCTTCTCTAAGTGCTCTCAGGCTGGCACTCTTCCTTGCCCACTCTGTCTGGCTGTGGACTTAGCTTTCCTGACCCTGTGGCCTCCTCGGACTATGAAAGTCTTTGCAGCCTATACTAAACACAGGCTGCTGCCGGCAGGTGGGAGTGGTAGCCAATGCAGCAGGATTTCTCGGTCTTGCCATAGTCTGGTTACATAGACTGGAAGAGGTGTGCCTGGGCTCCTGGTTTTAGTCCTCCGGGGATCCTGATGGAAAGATCCCTGCAGGAATACAGACAGGAGCACATCTCTCACCTGGTGTCACTTTGTGCTTTTCTGTTTAGATTTTTGGCTGTTTTGCTCTGACTGAACTGAGTCATGGGAGTAACACCAAGGCCATGCGAACCACAGCTCACTACGATCCTGCCACCCAGGTAGGTTCCAGATTCCCCTGGACCCTGGGTGGGACACATGATATGTTGTGAATGAACAATAATTAATCAAGAGTGTTGGCCCCTTACACACTCTCATTAGAGGTCGATGTCAGATGCCTCTGAGAGCGCCTTGTGCTGAGGCTTGAAGCCTTTACCTTCCATGCTGAGCAGACGGGTATGGGGAGCATAGAGGGCCAGATACTCACGCTTCATGAAGTGTTCCAGAGGACAGTTCTTCCCAACCTCAGCCCTGGGGCCTGCCTTGCCTACATGGTCACAGGCTTTAGGTGGCTGAGCAGCCTGTCTGCCCATTGCTGCCTAGATCTCTGCTCCTTGCCATGTTTCTGGCATCCTTGTGACACCCACGTTGCTGACCACTGGTGGGGCATTGCTGGGCACTGCTCTGTGTGTACGCTGCCTTCTGCAGGGAGACACTGGGGACAGGCCACAACCGGTTCTCCAGGAGCTCCTAGTGTGCAGGGTGGGAGGGACATGGGTCTCAAATGTCGGGGATGGCCGGTGCCGCATGGGGTGTGGAAGCCCCCTTTCTCCACTTGTCTGAGGATTGTGCCCTGCTGCCACCTTCCTTTGTGTGCTATTGGGAGCCTCACCCCTCCCCATTAGCTGGGGTGTGGTAGAGAGGGTCTGCGTGCAGAAAATAAAGGTCAGTGTTCAACGCTTGCTCACTGATTCGCCCACGTGGCTGGCTGGACTCTGGCCTGAGCTGCTGTATGGTGGAAGTGGAACAGATCATACCATGTGCAGCCCTGCCAGGGCAGGGGCAAGTGAGAGAGGGACCGCCATGCAGGCTGTCATACCTGCCAGCACATAGGCCCCCACAGTTCATTGCCTGCTTCTTGACCAAGATTTTCCTCTTGGTCTTTCTGACTCCTTGGCCCTGTCTGTCCCACTGCACTCTGGTGCCTGTGGTTTCTATGGATCTTCTATGGGTGGGAAGCCCGTGCTGACTGGTAGCAGAGGGCCCTGGGGCCATACCTTAGGCTGTAGGGAAACTGCTGACTCAACAGAGCCAGAGACACCCCTGCCAATGACGTGTGGTGGCCCTAGCTCGTGTACAGTTGATGCCTCGCTTGTTCATTCCCAAAGTTCCTTTCAAAGGGACAGTGCTCTCTGCAGGTGCCCATATATTCCAAGTGACAGATGGAAAGCGGGCACCGTTCATTAGCAGTCAGGAGAGGATGTGGCAAGAAAGAAAACAGACCTCTGCTGGCAGAGTGTGGCCAGTGTCAGCCTCCTCGGGCGAGCGCCAGCCAGCAGTTCACTGTGTGAGAGACTGAGTCTCATTTTCCATTTCCCCTGTAAGGTGACCCTGGAAGAAAAATAAAGTCAGCTTGGCCCACACAGGAAATAAAATGTTCAGTCCATTTTCACTGTTGGCTCAGAGGCTTGGAGCATAGGAGTCAGCCTGGTGCAGAGGTAAAGCCATTCTCTGGTCTCAGCTGCTGATTAGAATGCTGCCATCTCCCCTCACAGGAGTTCATCTTACAGTCCCCGGATTTCGAGGCTGCCAAATTTTGGGTAGGCAACATGGGCAAGACAGCGACGCACGCGGTGGTGTTTGCTCAGCTGCACATGCCAGATGGCCAGTGCCACGGGCTGCATTCCTTCCTGGTGCAGGTAAGACCTGGGTGGGGCTGGCCCCAGGTAGACGGTTACCTGCAGCCACAGGCATGGTGATGGTGCTGTCAAGCACAGACTTGTTTGTACCTCTGGGTTTGTGCTGGTACTCGGCTTCCTGCAGCATGCCTCACTTTCAGACCACAGGGCTGCAACGCTGCTCCGTGAGTGTGCTAAAAGCACCCAGCAGGCCTGTCACCATGGCACACATCTGTCATCCCAGCACTCCGGAGGCTGAGGCAGGATTGTGAGTTTGAGGCAAATCTGGCCTGTGTAGAGAAGCTCAGTGACATCTCACCACCCCCCCTCCAGCAGAACGCCTGTACTCAGGGCAGCGTGCCATTCCTCTCCAGCAGAGCCTCTGTGTAGAGGGCACAGCCCAGGCTGCCCTGAAGGGTTGACACTTATCATGGGAAATGGACAGGTGAATTTGCACAATTAATATTTATGAGTTAGGCATGGCCTTAGATTGGAATTCTTTCCAGATGAACTGGAAACTGGCCCTAGTCTTATAATTTTTTTTGTTTGTTTGTTTTGTTTTTGCTTTTTGAGATAGGGTTTCTCTGTGTAGCTTTGGCACCTTTCCTGGAACTCACTTGGTAGCCCAGGCTGGCCTCGAACTCACAGAGATTCGCCTGGCTCCGCCTCCCGAGTGTTGGGATTAAAGGCGTGCGCCACTACCACCTGGCTCATATATTTTTTAAAAGATTTATTTATTTTTAATTTATGTGTCTGTGAGTGCTGTGCACCATGTGCATGCAGTCCCTGTGGAGGCCAGAAGAGGGCGTCAGGTGCCATAGACCTGGAAGTACAGTTGGTTGTGAGCTGTCTGATATGCATGCTGGGACCCAAACCCATGGTCTCTGCCAGAACTGCTGAGCCATCCGCGGCTCCCACTAGTGGGTTTGTTTGTTTCGTTATTTGAAAAAATGCCAACTGTTTCTGCCCTGTTAGTTGCTGCTCCTGTTAGCTTTCTGCTGCTGTGACTAAAGTCCTAACAGGGTAACTTCAGAGGAGGAAAGGGTTAGCCTGCTCAGTTTTTGAAGTGTCGGCCCACGGTCTTCTGGCACTGGCGCTGCTGTGGGCCTGGAGCAGCCCAGGATCCTGGCAGGGGTATGGAGCTGAATAAGCTGTGTCTGGGGACAAAATGAGAAAAAAACAGGAAGCGGCCAGTGTCTCAGTAGCCTCTTCAAGGACACACTCCCAACGGCCTGATTTCTTTTTGCCTTATCCCACCTCCCCACAGCACCATGGGCTGATGACCAAACCATTTACCTCTGGGGACCAGGAGCCAAGCCTTGGTTCTTCCTGGTCATCTCCACTATCTCTCTAATTGTTTGGTTTTTATGGCATTTTTTCAAAAGGTTTCTAAAATGTTTGTGTCTAAATCTTTACTGTAAGATTATAGAAAATTAAAAGCTGCCTTATGGTTGAGTTTTAGCCTTAGTATTATATATATATATATATACGTGTATATATATATATATATATATATATACGTGTATATATATATATATATATATATATATATATATATATGTATGTATTAAAGTTAAATAAAAATCAGATCCACAAACTAAAAGCTAGTGACTTATACAAAGAGCTAAGTTCCACATGCCTAGGTTCAACCAACCCACCCTCCCGCTCTCCCAGTTTTTTCCTTTGGTTCTGGGGTTTGGACCCAAGGTCTCCTACATTCTAAACCCTTAGTGTACCCTGGGCTGTGTTCGCAGACTCCAAGTGTCTTTAGAGCAGGGTGTCCCCACCCCGGTGCTTCCAGCCCTCTGGCCTGAGATGTCCTGTGTTTTCTGGGTGGGTAAGCAGCAGCGGTGGTTGCTCCTTACTACTGCGTGCTGACGATGTCTGTCATCTCGAACAGCAGCATCCCTAGACATTGCCCCATCCCCTGGAGGGGAGAGAAGCAGTGGGGACTCTGCTCTAAGGTTGGCAATCATGCTTCATGGGGAATGAAACCCGTCTTCTTCACGGAGCCCCTAGGTCAGGAGTCTCCAGCCAGTCAGGCCTGCATTCCTGTCGTGTTTAGTGGTCACCCACTGGGGAGGTGAGATTGACATAGCTTGTCCTGACTGTCCTTCCCACAGCACATATGTGCACAGCCATTTTGTCGTTACGCTGGAACCCCACTGCGGGTCCTCTGTCTGAGGCATGACCAGAATATCTCTATGTCCCCTAAACAGTGTGGGCCCTCAACCCGCCCTGTGGCTTGTGTAGTGACACACCGTAGCCGGGACTAAGCCACGAGAGCCACTGGGCTCTAGAGCTGGAGTCAGGAATCAGTGTACTTGTTGACGGCTCAGGAAGTTCTCCCCTACCTTCCTCAGCTGCCGGCTTCCTTCACTGGTCGCCATGTCAGGTCAGCGTCTGCCTCATTACCACACTGCTTCTCTGTGAGTCTGTCCCCTTTTGTAAGGACACTTACCATGGATTTAGGGCCACCCAGGAGTCCAGGTGATCTTGTGTTGAAGTTTCTGCCTTATTATAGCTGCAGAGGTCCATTTTCCACAGAAGGCTCCATCCCCAGACCTGGACATATCACTCTAGGGAACCCAGTGTGACCCAGAGCTGTTCAGAGTCACTCCTGTCGGCGGTCAGCTTGTCTGGACATGCTACCTTGTCTGCTGAAAGACTAACTGGCCATTATTCCCCGTGGCTTTGTACAGATTCGGGACCCGAAGACCCTGCTCCCCATGCCAGGGGTGCTGGTGGGCGACATAGGGAAGAAGCTGGGGCAGAATGGCCTGGATAATGGGTGAGTGCCACGGGCCTCATCAGACACATGCTACCTCCCTGGGGCCCCAGGAATTTTCCTAGGCTGGAGCTGGCTACTGAGAAGTGTGGGCTTCTCAGAGCCCGGCTTGGATATGGTAGACACCAACACTGAACTTCTTTGAGCAACAGCCATGGCCCGCATAGTCTCAATTCCCAGAGGTCCACCTTGCCCTAGCACCCCCTGGGTCAGCTTCTCAGAGTGTGACTCTCCCAGCTCTCGGGTCAGTCTGTGGCTGCCCCCTGCTGCCTGGGGGAAACCTCAGGCTGGCAGCAGGGGTGGGGGTGGGGGTGCCCAACTATGTCGGACCTTCCTTCCTCTGTGAGGTCTCTTGATGGTTGGCCTTAGCTGTTCACTGTGAAGTCTGCTGTGAATATTTGCTTTGAGTCCCTGAGGCAGTAGTTGGCAAAGTGCTGGGCATGTGATGGTCATCGAGGTGCTTTTGACGCCCATCCTAGGGCTGCTCAGAAACAGGGCTGATCTGTAGCAGTGTGCACTGAGCACTTGGATGAGAGTGAAAACCGTGGGTTGGACTGAGCCTGGAAGGACCTTCGCTAACTCCTTAACCAGGCTGAGTCCCCGTGGTCAGTAGGACAGCTGGGTGGTTTGAGGTTTATGGTATCCCAGGTGGAGGAACAGTGGTAAAGCCAGCTCCTGAGGGTTCTCCGTGTCTCTGAGCATCTGTCTTTGAGACCTAGATTGGCGGCGGCAGCTGAGTGGCATCCAACAGGGTAGGGCTCACTGTCATCCATATCATTTCTAGTCCAGCTTCTTTGCCTAGCCCTCAAGGGACCCGCTGAGCAGCCTGGGTTGCCTTCCTGCCTTCTCCTGGGTCAGTGTGAACAGGCTCCACCTGGCTCCAGGATGCCTGGCCCAGTGCACTTAGACCCCTGTCTGTCTATGAGATAACTCATGACTATGGAGGAGGCCAAAACAGGGTATCCCCAAGCACTGTGTCCTGTGCTGTGTTAAGGGTGTTTGCCAACTCAGTTCTGTGTGTATTTGGGTTCTCCTGGACACTCCACTGTCTGCCCATCACCAGAAGGCTAGGGCAAGGCCAGGGGAGGGCTTAGGCCTCCTGAGTCTGCAGGTCAGCAGCAGACAGTGTGGAGGAGGCCAGAAGCACCAGTACCTAGCAGAATAAACTTAAGGAGAAAGATCAGGGCTCAGAAGTCATAGAGCGTCACCTCCTCTGCTGAGGGCTCTGTGTGCAGCCTGGCTAGCCTTGGCTTGTGCTGGTGGTGCATTGTAACATGTAGCCAGTGGTCCCAGGGCCTCTGTCTGCTGTTCCTCCTGGCCTACAGATTAGAGCAGTTAGAGTAACTTTGGAACATAACAGAGAGCTTGTACTTGGCCCCATCACAGCAGCACCTGTTTTTAGAGAATGGGTAGTCTCCTGGGACGCATCTCACAGGCACCAAATCAGACGTTTACAGGAGCCTCAGCATATAGGTGTGGCAAAGTCTCGGTTGAGAGTCACCATGGAGACGCTGCAGGGCAGCCTGAGCATCTGTTCCAGCAAAGCAGGCTAGTCCAGTGGCCTGTTGTGCCCTCTCTGTCATGCTTGGCCATAGGAGAAGCCTCTGGGTCTTTGGAAGAAACTAAAGCAAGCTTCCTGCCTGCACTGACCACAGGCTACCAGCAGAGGACGCTAGAGCTCCAGAACTGAGTGGCTGCTCTGCTGGTCTTAGGCCTCAATTCAATGAGCAGCACTGTAAGTTAGTGCTGCTTTTAAACTGGGGTCCATTTCTAAGTTAACTTTTGTTCTTTCATGAGATTCCCAAACCTGTCGAGACTATCTGGGAATCCAGAGCAGAGTCAGCTGCGTGGGCACTTTCAATCAAACATTCTAAAGACAAGGATCTTTCCAGGAGACACTGAGCCAAACCCTCAAGGTGCTCACAGTAGTTATCATAGTGAGGCTGGGCCTTTGGGCCTGGGGAGTCCTCCCTGAAGAGGCCGAGGAGCCCAGGATGAGGATCTGCTCCAGGTGGGGCTGCGCTGGTGGTTCCCGAGGGGCCTCCAGAGAAGGAAGTTACTGGAATTTGCAGCAGGACACCCAGGGTAGAAGTTATATGATACAAACACTCTACACCCTTCCGACATGCCTGCCACACTCCCACCCTGTGCCCCATGTTATATACATGTCCCGTGTCACTGCCCTGTGCCATCCACACATGCTTACGGCACTCTCCCTAGCCCCCTACTCCATCTTTCCCCATGCCACATGCCTTATGTCACAGAGATATCCTGTGTCACCGTCCTGTTATTCACACACACACGCACGCACGCACGCACACACGCACACACACACATGCACACACACACATACACACACGCACACACACACACGCACACACACACATACACACACGCACACACACACACACCCCTGAGCTGCCTCAGCCCCCCATTCATATACTCCCACGCACACCTACTTGAACCTCCCCGTGCCCTTTATCACACATCCCATACCACACCTATGTGCACATCCCTGTGTCCCACTGTCACCCTCTGCTGTCCACACGTCCCCTGCCCTCTGGAGAACGTAATCGTGGTGTGCCAGTAGCCCTCCAGTTGGACCCATCTGGCCATTTCTGTGGATATAAAAGTGACCCAGAGAACATTTGTGAGATTTGCTCTCTTAAACGAGAGTGGAGACTTCACAAGCATGAGTGTGTTCAGACTCATTCTACCTCTGTGGCAGAAAGGGGGAAGATTTTCCACTCCTTAAAAAGTGCTTTCCGTTGACAACATTGTACTTGAAAAGCATTCCTTGGCTTTCAAGTAAACAGTTGGAGCACCTCGGGCTTGGCACTGAGGCTGGGTTTTCTTAAAAATGGGGCATTGTTTGCGGCCTGCAGGCTGGGCGCGGGCCAGGTGGCTGCCAGACACAGTGCGCTCTGTTAGCTGGGTGTACTGCGCGGAAGTCTGCCACCCCGGGGCTCTACTTAGCTCTGTCCTGTGGGTACTGGGAAGGGCTGCTGTGTCTTCCCGGGACATGGTTTTGTGGGGATGGCTCCTTCACCTTGGAGGATTCCCTCCTACCCCAACACTCCATTCCTTTTCCCTAAGTTCCTGGTAGGGGCCAGGTACTGTAGACTTGTAAGAAAAATATGGCAATTCCAAGAATCTGCTGCAGGAGCATGGCTTCCTGGGGAACAGGGACAACCGAGTGATTACTCTGACTAGGACCACCCACTGGTGTCCTGGAGAGAGGTCTGCCTTGTGATCCTTGCGGGATGGCTGGAAAATGGTGTGAACTTCCTAGAGAAGATGGCAGCTTGCTTCACTCTGAGGGAGACCCAGGGTTCTCGGGCAGAGGCAGGGAGGGCCACAGGTCATTAGAGAGCCTGGCCGGGTGGGAGTGTCACAAACATGGTAGTCTTGAGTAGGGTGTGTCCTTTGTGAAATACTTTGCTTTTGCCTGCTGTTTACTGAGGGCAACTCAGGTGGAGGGGGCTGCCTCAACCAGGGACTAAAGGAAGTCAGATGTGGGTGAGGAGCAGCAGGCTGCCTACCACCGTCACAGATGGTCGCTGGTGACTGATGAGGTCCTCTGTGTGTGCCTAGCGGCTTAGCCGCCGGACACGCTGCTACAGGAACCGCTGAAATTTTCAAGTGTGTTTCATTTTGAAGCTGACATAGATTTGTAACTTTGCACAAGCTTCTTCCTTAAGCCATTGTAAGAACGCCTTGGATTGCCAGTGCCCAGTGTCCCTAGCAACGCCTGTTGGACCCTTTCCCCAGCTGCTCAGGGGAAGCAGATCACTGTTCCCAAGCAGTAGACTGGACTGCAGGTTCTTCCGTTTCATTTAGCATTTTTAAAGCACCATCTGCCGGTTTTCTCTCTCTGTACTGGGGATTCTGGTTTGAGACTGAAGTCTGAGGACCAGTGGTGGCAGTCTTTAGAACCAACTCCAGACCTTCTGTCTGTGGTGTGTGACCTTTGCTGTGCACAGGTGGATAGTGGAGCTTCTCTTTGCCAGTGACATGGGAGCACCTCCATCCTGGGGAATAAAGAGCTGGGCCATGATGGGCCACGCATGGCTCCGTCACACATGCCCCTGGTCTTTGGGGGGGATGTTACCTAAAGCTGCTCTTGGGGAGAAGAGGAAAGGTCAGGAACCATGTTACAGGCTCTTGTAGGACTTGCATGATGGAAGCTCACCTTTTCTCCTGCACAGATTTGCCATGTTCCACAAAGTTCGAATTCCTCGACAGAACCTCCTGGACTGGACTGGGAATGTCACCTCCGAGGGCACTTACAGCACCCCCTTTAAGGTACCAGTGGGCTGTGGGTATCTGTGGACAGAACTTCTCAAGTGTCTTGTCTTTATGTGTTGGCGATCACCCTAGGAGCAGCTGGTCCTAGGTATACCACACATCAAACTCGGTAGGGTTTGGTGCCCTCAGCAGAGAAGGAACTTAGCCACAGTGTTGGTGGGCAGGGGTGACCTGGATCTGGCAGCATTTTCTGGCTATGCCTGGGTATCCATGTCTGCTTGGGTAGGGGGCTACTCTCCCAGAGCATCTAGATGGAAGCTGTCTTGGTTACTATTGCTGTGATAAGACACTATGACCAAGACAACTTATAAAGAAGGGTTTAATTTGGAAAGTGAAGTTTCAAAAGGTTAGAGCCTGTGGTGGCAGAGCAAAGGTGTGGCAGCAGGAACGGCTGAGAGCTCACATCTGGATTCACAAGACAGAGAGACACACTGGGAATGGTGTGTTTTAAAACCCCAAAGCCTGCCCCCTCAGTGACACACCTGTTCTAACAAGGCCATCCTTCCCAAACAGTTCCACCGATAGTATTCAAACACATGAGCCTGTGGGGGCCATTTTCACTCATAGCACCATAGGAGGCCACTTGCAAAGCTGTGTCCAGATGGGGTAACCAGATGTGATAGTGGAGAATGGCCAGGCTGTCGATGGAGATGAACCATGCCCACAGCTCGGGAGTGGTGGGCAGGTGGGCAGGTGGCTGACCCTCAGAGGAGAAGTTTCAGGAGGATCCTCCCAGGAAGGACACTCCTCAGACAACCCTCACCCTTTGCCTGGTGGAATGCAAGAATGAATGCAACTAAATTACTTGAGAGGAAATTAGCCCTGTGAGCCAAGTAGCCACGTAAGACAGAACAGTACGAAAACAACCAATTACAATTTACCATAATGTCAGAGGCTTGGAAGAAAGAATGCAGTGGGAGGTACTGGAGAGGTGAGTGTCCTGCCTACCACAGCAAGGCTCAGGGAAGTGACAGACAAATGTCCCCAGCTAGAGAAAGAAAGACTCCTGAAGAGTATCTGTGTTGTTCCAAAGAGGAAATGAAGGAAACGCTATCTACTGACACACAAGGAAAAAACAGGGCCATTAGAGAGAAAGTTCAGAAACCATGCTGTCGGATGCAGGTGAATAACCACCACGTTACCTCTGTCCCTCCGGTGTGCCACTGAATGTGAACGTTTTGGTTGGTTGTTTTGCTTTTTCAAAACAGAGTTTCTCTGTGTAGCCCTGGCTGCCCTGGAACTTACTCTTGTAGACCAAGCTGGCCTCGAACTCAGAAATCTGCCTGCCTCTGTCTCCCAAGTGCTAGGATTAAAGGCGTATACCACCATCTCCTGGCAAATTTGAACACTTTTAATGCCAACAAAACTGTCTTCTCTACATGAGAGTGTGACAGCTGTTCCCTGTCTGGAAGACTGTCATACAAACACTACACTGTTTTGGAAGAAGGACCCAAACAGAGCGGCAGCAGGGGACAGGGAGCAAGGACACCAGGCTGTCCCACACCACCACTGAGCACAGCTTCTGCCTAACGGTGAAGAGCAGGATGGATGTGGAGTTGACAGTGAAGGCTGGAACACGGGCTTGGCAGCTGGGGTCTAAGGAGCCATTGCCCCAGCAGAGTGCCTGTTGGATGTGGAGGCCCCTGCTGGACCACCCCGCATTCTGGTGCCCATCCAGGAAAAGGCAGGGCACAGTGCCCTCAGGTGGACAGTTGGCAGGTCACAAAGAAAAGGAGCCCACACAGCTCAGTCACAGTGCTTCTCTACTCAGAGCTCCCTCCTTGGGCAGCTGGGAGGCCTCTCCTCTACTCACAATGCATCTGGGGTACACCTTCATCTTTGGGGCATCCTCTGAGGCTGCATAACATCTGGCTGACATGTGACACTGCTTTTCTTCCCCAGGATGTCCGGCAACGTTTCGGAGCATCCTTGGGCAGTCTGTCCTCAGGACGCATCTCCATTATTGGCATGTCCGTGGTCAACCTGAAGCTGGCCATGTCCATAGCGATCCGATTCTCAGCCACGCGGTGTCAGTTTGGACCCACAGATGAGGAAGAAATTCCTGTCCTTGAATATCCACTGCAGGTACTGGCCCTCTGCATCATTTCCTGCTCTCTGCTCTTCTTGGTCCCTGGGAGTTGGTGAGAGTTCTTAGGGGCTGCCCTGAGAATCCGACAGTAGGCAAGAGTGCACCTGCCAGGCACCAGGGCCTTGGGGTGGCTTTTAATGAAAAAGGCCTATGTATGCTCAAAAGGAGGCACACGGGCAGAGGAGAGCCAAGGATGCTGGTGGCAGGTGCAAGCCTGCTCAATGTGCAGATGAGGTCACCCTGCCCTGGCAGGTGATGCTGTTCTGGGTCAGGCTACATTCTTTGACTTATCTGTCCCATCCCTAAGAAATGGCCCTGAGGAAGTCATTTCTGGAAGCAGCAGGTGAGCACAGCCCTTTAAACACTCCGGCATTTAAAGCAGAAGTGGTACCCAGCCTCGCATCCTCAGAGGCAGCAACAGGGCAAAGCAGAGAGGCCACAAGTGGAAAGGGGCACATCATAGCCACCCGCTGTGATCCCCACTGCCTGCCCTGTGCAGTCAGAGCCCCACTGCCTGTCCTATTCAAGGTGTCCTATTGGGTGCCCTTTGTAGCCAGAGGGGCAGTCTTTATGGGGACAAGGGTCAGGTAGGTGACCTGGTTGCTAAATCTGGCTTAGGTCTTGTGCTGAGTGCTGCATTAAGTGTCCGAGTGACAGTCCGAGGAAATGAGACAGAATTACCCTTTCTCTTCACTTTCCTCTTATGTTGGCACTGCGCTGTTTAGGAAGCAAATATTTTTAAGAAAGGTGTCACTCTGCCTGGATGGTCCGTGTGCCCTACTATGCTGTCAGCCTTGTTCCCATGTTGACCACTCTGGGTGCCAAGGGCAGCCCAGTGGCTAAGGAGCTCTAACCAAAGCCCTCGCTGATGCTGCCCCTTCCTGGGGCTGCAGAAGGCTTACAGAGTAGGCACGTGGAAACCCCTGACATCATGCCTGACACTTTGCACACGTGGAACAGCCGTGGTGGCGGCTCAGTGGGTCCCTTTCGGCGCCACCTGTCCCCTCTAGCCCATTCATCTCCTCCTCCATTTGTCCATCCAGCAGGGGGTGTATGCCACGTGTGTCAGGTGTGGTGTGTGGGTCCCCCCACCCCAGGGGGACTGATCACCTTTCATGGATTCAAGAAGTATGGTGCAAGCTGAAGAGATGGCTTGGTGGTTTAAAGCACTTGCTGCTCCTCCAGAGGACCTGGGTTTGATTCTCAGCACGTTATGGTGGCTCACAACCATCTGTGACTCCAGGTCCTGGGGAATCTGCTACCTTCTTCTGCCCTTCTTGGGTACCAGGTGCACATGAAGTGCATATATCTAGTACATGCGGGCAAAACATTCATGCACATAAAATAAGCATTAAAAATCGATGCCTGTCTTGAACTGAACTGGCACCAGCGGTGGGTTTCCTTCCTTCCTGAGGAAGCTGGCTCCAGGTTCCCAGGGTCAGTGTAGACTGGCTGACCGGGCCAGCCCCTCTTGAGTACCTGTCGTGTGTCTTGTTTCCCTCAGCAATGGCGCCTACTTCCATACCTGGCAGCTGCCTATGCCTTGGACCACTTCTCTAAGACACTTTTCTTGGACCTGATAGGGCTCCAGTATGGCCTGCTCGAGGGAAACCACAGTGCCAGGCAGGTGAGCATCTGTTTTACCGTTGCCAAGGTTGAGCCGCCCCTTTTCAGCCCTGGAGCCAAACACAAGCAGCTGGCTGTGGGAAGAGAGCCTGTGGGAATTCCTTCAGCTGCCCCACCGGCTTGGGGTTTGGCTTGCCCAGTGACTTGCAGTTTGGGCTACATCCATCCCCCCATTTCCTAGGGAGGTGCTGGCAGAGCAGAGCTCACAGCTTCTGAGAGCACAATGTTTCCACACTGTGCGTTGCCACCCCTCAGAGGATGTCTCAGCTCTTGTCTTTTCGTAAACAACTCTACAGAGTTCTGAATCCACTCTCTCCAAGTTGACAGCCCAGGATTTGTGCCCGAAGTGAGTGAGCATGCAGCCCCACTGGCTCAGCTGCTCCTCACAGGGAAGTCCGTTGCCGGCTTCTCTGTTGGTAGCCTAGGGGTGGGTGTTTGTTCCTCCTTGTGCTACCCCCCGAGTGGAAATCAGATGTGAACAAAAGACATGGGTCTAGAAGCGGATGAGAAGTGCTGCAGACTGCGGCTGCGTACTCTATCCTAAACAGTCGGTCAGAAGAGCTGCATTGGGATGCCCAGCCCAGATCTGGAGTGAGAGGTGGAGCGTTGCACATTCTGGCATGGTTCTCTGGAAAGGCACAGGCTCCTTAGGGGTGCTGCTGACATGGTGGGGCCACCATGCTTTCCCTAGTGAGTCTGTAACCTGCCTGTCTTTTCTTTCTGAAACCATGTGGTTGAACCCGGCCAGGCACAGTAGCAACTGAAACTCTCCTCAGTTCAGACAGACAGTGCTGGCTAAATGGATAGTTTTGTGTAGCAGGCGTTGCCTTCAGTGAAGTAGAAATGAGGATGTGTATGAAGCAGATGTGAGCTTCAGGAAGGAAGGCCCAGGAGTGCCCATGCTGCCAAGCCCTCACCAAACATCTGCACGAGCATGGTCCTAGCCCTCCCTCTCCTCAGAGGGCTGCATTGGTTGTACAGTGTTGTGCCAATCTCTGCCCCTGATTTGTGGCCTTCTGCAGATGGGCATGGTCAGTATGCATCCATGAACTTTGTGGGAACCAAGTAATAGGCATTCTCCAGCCGTCTGTAGTGGGTATGCGGCCCTTGAGACAGATTATCCACATAGAGGCGAGATGCACTCGTTTTCATGCTGTGAACCTGTGCCGTGGGGTGCTGTCCACCTGGTCTCTGTTCCCGAGTGCGTTCTGACCCCTTTTCAGTACAGTGGGTTTCCTTTCTTTGACACTAGTGCTGAAGCTGGGGACTGACTTGCATTGTGAGTCTGTCTTCACCTCTTCTCACTGGGTTCTCTCCACAGGCAGAGCTTGGACGTGAGATCCATGCCCTGGCATCAGCTGGCAAGCCCCTAGCCTCCTGGACAGCCCAACAGGGGATCCAGGAGTGCCGCGAGGCATGTGGGGGACACGGCTATCTGGCCGGTAAGTTTGGGGCAGTTTTTGATCCTCAGTTCCCTCCCATGGCCTGTTAGACCAGGGTTCCACAAAGTGCAGCTGATTTTTCTGATAAGATTTTTGTTGGAATGCAGCTGTGCCCAGTCAGGCACACACTTTCTCTCAGCCATACCCACTCAGGCACACACTTTCTCACAGCCATACCCACTCAGGCACACACTTTCTCACAGCCATACCCACTCAGGCACACACTTTCTCACAGCCATACCCACTCAGGCACACACTTTCTCTCAGCCGTACACACTCAGGAACACCCTTTCTCTGCCTGTTTCCATACGTAAGTGGCAGTGCTAAGTCCTCATGACAGAGACCTCAAATGTTTACCCTCTGGCCTGTCACAGGGCAAGTTCACCAACCCCTGTCCTAGTCAGATCTCACTTTTTGAGGCTTCAGGCTTCCTGGTCAGAATTTGGAATAATGAGGAAGTGTGAAATGTGTGTGATCCCAGCATGCAGCTGAGTGGAATTAGCAGGTTATTTCAGTGCGACATTTGGCTGATGACTTGGTAGGGAACCAGCACTGGTTTTAATGTAGTTCTGAAACCTGGATAAGATGAGCCTTACTGATGCCGAGCATCACAGCACACAGGCAGCTAGTACATGACTGGGGGTGAACAACCAGCTGGTCCAGTCAGAGCCTGGCGTGGTCTCCATGGTAACGGGACAGGTTACCCTCACTGTGTCTCAGCTTTCTAATTAAAAGATGGTGGAATTATACACACAGCATGTGGGTTCTTCCGAGGAGTCAGTGCATATATCTGATTAGAGGGCCTGGCCTATATCACTGTAGTATACAGTACTAACTGTATTATAGCAGAGCAGTGGCCGGGTAATACTTTTCTACCATTAATTCAGAATGGTTACTCTGACCTCCACGCTCTGCCACTCACCTGCAGGACCTCTGCTATTCACATCAGAAATGACTAATAGCTAGCTGCTCAAAGATGGCCACTGCTGATGCAGACAGCGTGGAACTGCCAACCCTTCAGTGGCCAGAGAGATGATGCAGGCTGCTGTGGAGCTGTGGACGTTCCTGTGACAGTCTGGATTTGATGCTCCCAGTAGCCTGCCCTGGCCACGCAGCATGTTCTGGTCTAGCCTCCACTCCCCTGCACGCTCTCTCTTACTGGCACTGACTCGCAGTGGCCGTGTCTTGAGTTATTTATTTGTGTACGTGTTTTTGTCCTTTCTACAATGTTCTCAGTAGGGCTTTTAGTTGTTGTTATGACTCACAAAAACACATAAACAGTTTAGCTGCATTCTGGTTTTAAATAGAATAAGGAAATTACATCTTGAAGCACGATAGACAAACATGACCGACTCATGGCTCATGACTTACCAGGATGCAAGGAGCAAAGTCAACAGGAATGTAAAGAGTCACATCGAGGTTACGTGCCAGCTGTCTGGTCCCCCGGGAGATCCACCCCAGACCTTTACCTCGTGTGTTAGCTGTAGTGTGGAGGAGCCGGGAGCTGGGCTGGCTCCTCCATCTGCCTCAGAGGGAGTGTTTTCCATCGGAGGAAGGCCTGAGAGGTTGCAGGCCCCGGGCAAAGCACATCTCATGAAGTGCACGCAGGCCCTGGGAAAGCAATCTCAGGTTAGACATTGGCTTTTTAAGGCTTCATTTAGCTATAGAAGAGTAGCCCCATGTCCTGTCTCTGGAGTGGTCCCCACGCTCTGGGGAAGCTCTGCTAGGTGATTCCTCGGGTAATCCCAACAGGCAGGAAGGTGACAGTCCTAGGTCCTCACTGTCACCAACCCTGCATTGAGTGTTCTTGTGCCATCCCACAGTCTACCTGGAGGTGACTTTTCTTCCCTAAGGATGGGGAACAGCCAGCAGATGTGGGCCAAGGGGCATGGAGGCGAGCACTTCCTGCCCCTGCCTGGGTGGGCCTGTGGGAGGGGCATCTCTCAGAGCATCTTGAGTGACAATGTAGCATTTTTTCTTCCAGTGAATCGGCTTGGTGACCTCAGAAATGACAATGATCCAAACTGCACCTATGAAGGTGACAACAACGTCCTGCTGCAACAGACCAGCAATTACCTGCTCAGCTTCCTGGAGCGCCGGCTCCAAGGTGGGCAGCTCCGTAGGAGCTGAGCTCAGCAGGCACAGGACTCTCTCAGTCTCGGGGGATTCTAAGCTTGTGTCAGGATGTGTCCTCAAGCCAGGCATGGTGGCACAGTCCCATAATCTCAGTACTCAGGGGGCCAAGGAGGGAGCTTCTCAAGGTAGAGGCAAGACATTGTCTCACCGGGCAGTGGTGGCCCATGCATGCCTTTAATCTTACCACTTGGGAGGCAGACGGATCTCTGTGAGTTTGTGCAGAGCCTGGTCTATAGAGTGAGTTCCAGAACAGCCAAGGCTACACAGAGAAACCTTGTCTCCCAAAACCAAACCAAACCAAAACACTATCTCAAAAATAAAAAGCTGCCAGGCGGGGGTGGCGAATGCCTTTAATCCCAGCACTCGGGAGGCAGAGCCAGGTGGATCTCTGTGAGTTCGAGGCCAGCCTGGGCTACCAAGTGAGTCCCAGGAAAGGCGCAAAGCTACACAGAGAAACCCTGTCTCGAAAAACCAAAAATAAAATAAAATAAAAAGCTAAAGCAAAGATGGGCCATCTGCAGGGCGAATAAAGGTCATCACCTGGTGGCAGAGGGGCTTCCTGGGTGCAGGCAGAGTAGAGGCACCTATCCAGAGATGGATGAGCTAGCAGGCCAGGCTCTGTGGGTGGGGCCTCCTTGTCTTTCTCCTAAGTCACTGAAGTGTGTGCTCTAGATGGAGCTGCCTTCACAAGCCCTCTCAAGACAGTGGACTTTCTGGAAGCCTATCCTGGAATCTTGGACCAGAAGTTCATGGGCTCCAGCCAAGCTGACTGGCTGGACTCAGCAGGTACTAGCCTTCTCCCCTCCATTGTCTGGCATTTTCCTTTTCCTGCCAGGAGTGCATCTGGCCACAGGGAGGGACTGTGGCACTTACACCTGGGTGACCATTGATGGGGGCAGGTGCTTTTCTGGCTTGCAACATTTCCTTGGTTTAGTTGCTGTCCATAAATCTTGGAAAGGTCTCTGTGGTACCCACCTTTCCTGCTGCCCAGGACTTGATCCTAAACAGTGAGCCTCATGAACTAAGAATGGATGGGCATTACCCCAGCCTCGGCTGTGGCCTCCAGAAGTTGATGCAGGTGTTTGACATGCTAAGGATGACATTTAAGGTTCAAGGGTGACCGTCAGGCAGCCCTGGATCCTGTCCTGAGGCTGTCTGGGTATTGAAAGAACCAGATATCCACTGTCTTACAGTGTAAAAGTAGATATCCAAAGTCAAGTTCCCTTCCTTGCCTCTCCCTGATCCTGGGGGTTCCAGGCACCCTTGGTTTGTGGCTATGACACTCCACCCTCTGCCTCTGTTGTTGCAAGATATCCTTTGTGTCCTCCAAATAAGGACCCTTGTTGTTGGATTTGAGGCCTGCCCCAATCCAGGGTGACCGCTTTATTAGCTACTTCTTCCCACTGCACAGACCCTTTTTTTAAAGCCAGTCACGAATTCCAGGGGTCAGAACCCGGTAGACATTTGGGGACCACCTGTTTGCAGCATACCTGGAAGGACCCTGAGAAGGGTGTACCACTCCAGACCCCAGCCCTGCCTCACCTGCTCTTAGAACACCTGAGACTGAAGTCACAGCGTCCTACCTTTCCGCCGCAGCTTCCCTCTGCATGTAGGATGTGGAGCATAGACCCCACCACGTGGCTGGTCAGAACCTATCTCCCGTCCATGGCTGTGTGCCCTCCTAGTTCACCAGTGCCCTGTGTCCTGAGTAGTGTGGGAAGTCAGCTCAGGTGTGGCAGGAAGGATAAGCCCCGCTTCTGCCTCTCTGCCATTTGGCTGGCTAGGTCCCAGTAACCCACCTCAGTCCGCCCCCCCCCCCCCCCCGCCTCTGGAGCTGGCTTTCTGCTGCCAGGGGGAGCTTGTAGGGAGCAGCATGCTAGGCTGAGGCCTTGGCAGGGCAAGTGCCAACCTACAGCCCTCTAGCTGACCAGTGAGGCTGAGGATGGGAATACAGGCGCCCATCCTCTCAGCCCCTGGCCACCCTTGGCAGTTAGGCACCCTGATGCCCATGTAGGCCTCAGTGCCCCTGAAAGGCAGTCACTGTGTCTTAGCTGACTGAGTGGCCCTGTGATCTGCAGTCACAAAGCTGCAATGACAGTGTGGAAATGCTGTCAGTTACACCCACCCTGTCAACGCCACCTGGTAGAGGGCCTCGGGCAGCTACCCTCAGTGCTAGATTTCCCTGTCCGCAAGACGCCCGTCCTCTACCGTCCTCATGAAGACCGCCAGGGTACACGTGGCCGGCGGTGCTGTCTGCCCAGGCTTACGGGTGTGGTGACAGGCGTTCTCAGTTGTTGCCTGTGTCCCCTCCAAAGCCCCCCTGGCAGCATACCGCTGGCTTGTCTGCTACCTGCTCCAAGGGAGTCATCAGAAATTCTGTCAAGAGAAAAAGTCCAGAGGCAGCGACTTTGAAGCAAGAAACAGCAGCCAGGTAGGTCCGTTTCCCAGTTTGCGTCTGTCCGGCTTGCTCTGGTGTCTCTTGTGAGATGTCAGCGCCCGGGCAGTTGCGGGCCATGATGTCAGCCACCCTGTAAGGCCATGACTGCCAGCCTTGCCGCCTGTGGGAGAGATGAAGGATGCCAGGTTGACAGTGCCAAGAGTGGCTGCTGGGAACCAGAAGAGCAGCAGCTGGAGTGGGGTGTGGGGAGGGAGGGCAAGGGCCCACAGTCAGGGCTCTCGGTCGGGCAGCACCTCCGCAGCCCACCCCTCACCCCTTCCTACCCCTCTGTTCAGCACTTCTCAGCCACCATCTTCAGTTGGGAAGGGCCACAGTGCCTTCTACTCCCCGGCCACCTGGCTTGGTGTCCCCCCACACCCCCAGAAACAGCCTGTGCTTGGGTTCACAGTCAAGCCTCACATGTGTGCATTTTAATCCTCTGTGGATTGAAAAGTTCCGGTGAGGCATTGCACTGGGGGCCGGGAAAGATGTTCTCACGGTCGTCAGCAATCGGTTCGGTTATCAGAGAAGGCTGCCCAAGGGGTCTTTGGTGGCTAGCCTCTCTAGGGAGGTGACCAGTCTGTGTCGAGAGAGGGGAATCCCACAGGACCTGCGGCCGCTCGCCAATCTCACACGCAGTATCGGAACAGGGGCTCTGCATTTTGGGAGCCCTGGACAACAGTGTATCCTTAGCCCTGTCCAGTAGGACCTGTGTTCCTACACCATCCTAGGCACACAAGAGGACAGGTCCTATGCCCTGGAACCACTTGCTGGTGTCACAGTACTGTAGTGACAGCCTGTTGGGCCTCTAGTCTCTTAGGAGTTGGGCATGGGGCCAAGTGAACGTGGGCTGTCTTGGAGTGTGTAAATGTTATAGCTTTCCCTTTGCGGGGCTTAGCTTCAACTTGGAGATCTGTGTTTTGAGTCTACAGGTCCCTGTATTCTCTCTTCATACGAGACCCAGTTGTGCGGTCACAGTGATCGGCTGCCTCCAGCACACACCAAGCCTCTGTTCTGTTTGCAGGTGTACTATTGCCGGCCCCTGGCCCTGGTCTTCCTAGAGCTCACTGTGGTACAGCGATTCCACACGCACACACACAGCTCCAGCGTGCCTCCATCTCTGCAGGCCGTGCTTAGGCGGCTCAGCATGCTCTACAGCCTCTGGTCCCTGAGCCGGCACATGGCCCTGCTCTACCGAGGTGAGGCTGGCGCTTAGACCTCAGTCTGAGAAGGCCTAGTGACTAGGTACCTTTCTCGTTAGTGAAAATCGTCACAGGCGTAGCTCCTGTCACCAATATATTCCCAGCTGCACAGACCACTGTAGAGCTTCTACAGGAAGGCTGCTGTGGGCTTGAGGTGACACCAAGGGGCAGGGTGGGTGTCCTACTCTGTCCCCTGGTGGCTTCAGAGGCCTGCGTGCCCCACACCCCACAGCCCCATGCCCCCTCTTGGCTGCCAGCTCCTCACATCTACCCGGCAGTGCATCTGGACACCCGTGTAGTCTGATGCCGACACCTGCCTACCTGTGTATTCCTTGTTCCTCCTGTGGTAGGATTCCACCCAGCCCTGAGCCTCAGGGCCTTGCCTCCCTCCCAGCTTCTTAGCCAGGCCGGACCCATGCCTGGGAGCAAGGCCCCTCAGAACTGGCCCTGAGCCCGCAGGTTTCTTCTGAGACATCACAGTAGGCTGGTCAGTGCCGGGATACCCTGACACCTCTGGCCAAAACGCCTAATGGGGCTGAGTGGAAAAGCCACTTCTGAAGTGCCGTTGACAAGGTTGTGCTTGCAGGTGGCTACATTTCTGGAGAACCAGCAGGAAGAGCGATGGAGGACGCCATCTTGGCACTGTGTGAGCAGGTGAGGCACCTCACCTCTGTTGGGATCCTCTTTGTCCGCACCGTGTGGGCCCCCACTGTTATCCTGAGGCTGTTCACCCATGTTCTGCCATCACCCAAATGTTAACTTAAACTTCAGTGTGCTTGGCAGGAGTTATTTGAAGAAAAAAAAATTGTTTGCATTTCAAGAAAATCCTTGGGCGTCTCCACAGCCAATTGCTCTGTGGGGCTCCATAATAGTATGTGTGAGGAAGCGGGGGTCACGGAACCGCCGTCTCAACTGCAAGTGTGATAGCTTTCCCAGGAGCTCAGGAGCACTTTTTGCCCTTGTGGCTTCTGGACTTCCTTTCCTGCTTCAGAACAGCAGTGGCCAGATTGGCCATAGGCTGGGATGAGCCTCCTGGGACATGCTAACAAGCTGCACTCATCACCTCTGCCAGCCTCGCAGCCTAGCTGCAATAGCAAACGCTGGCCGTCCTGAGTGAATGGCGACATGGTGGAAATATGCAAACACCCAGGGAGTCCATAACCGAGGAGGCCGGTGAGGCCTCAGAGCGCTGTGCGCCTGCTCAGGTTTCCAGTGCACTGTAGCAACCAGCTGAGTGGCTCTGTTACTCCACGGTTGCCCTGGAGACCGTAGGGTGTCGCCAAGTAGACGGACTTTGTTTCCCAACAGCTGAAAGATGATGCGGTGGCTCTGGTGGACGTGATCGCCCCTTCTGACTTTGTTCTGGGCTCCCCAATTGGCAGAGCTGATGGTGAGGTAAGGGGAGTGGCCCCCTGCGGCCACCGAGGCTTGGCCGGAGTCTGTGCGGGTCCTAAGGTAGTGAGCAGTCTTGGGTGCCTTCCTAGAACTTATCACACTTGGAGGGCTTTCTGGGGACAAGAGAAATCAGGTGGTGTCACAGCTCTTTGCCACTCCAGCTCTGTAGTCTTGGGTTCCCATTCCTGATGGCCCTTTACCCTATGGAACAGGGAAGTCACACTGCTGCCCTGGGGTGACATACAGTTCCTCTGTGAAGACTGAGGTCTCAGCCTCCTCACCCCTCCCTGCCTGCTCTCCACATGGGCCCTGCAGCTCAGTCACAGACACCATTAGCCACCCTGGCCCTGGCCTTTCAGATCAGACAATCTGCTTTCTCCTTTTTAAAGCCTTGAGCATCTTCAGTTTCTCCTCTAGCCTGCCTCCAACCCCAGCTGACTACCCCTTAACCATCCCAACTCTGGGGGCCGCTGCCCCTCTGTGCCTACCTGTACAGCCCCACAGCCCTCACTTAACTTCCTAATGCCCACTTGCCACCAAATTCTAGAATGGTTTGTGCAGAAGCAGTTAGTGGGCTTAGGTCTCTCGATCCACAGGGTGTCCCACCCGCCAGCAGCCAGGCACCCTGCACCCTCCTGCCCTGCCATACCGACCTCTGTTTCTTCTGCCATTTTATACTGTGCTGCTGTGGCCCTCCAACCCCAGACCCCATTCTCCCCTCTGTTCTAGTGTGCCGGGCTGGTTCCCATCACAAGGCCCTTGCATATGCTGCGCCACTGTCTGGAGCACCCTCTGTCCACTCAGCCTGGCCTAAGCCCTGCCAGCTCTGTCCCCCTCACACAAACAAACATCCATCCTTCTGCCAGGTGGCCCTGCCAGCTCAGAAGTCACTTCCTGTGTGACACCCTACCACAAGGTGATGGCCATGTAGGAAGGCGCTCACAGCCTGGCATTTCACAGTACCCTGTTACCCACGGGGCAATGCCCCCATTATTCTGGCAGCATGACACTGTGGGGTGTTTCAGCCATGTGCTTGAGGTCTGATGGTTGTGAGCTGTGGGATGGGTTTAACTCCTACCCACCCCAGGACCATGGTGGCCACCTGTGAGATGGAGGGCAATAGTAAGGGCATGGAACCCACTGTCTTTAAGAGCACTGGACTCAGTGCTTCACAAGCCTATGAGGGGCCTGTTGGGGGGTGGTTCTGAACCCCAAGATTGGCACACTCAGGCTGCATGTGCATTAGGGTGGGCATCCAGGAGCAGACAGGACTGGGCAAAGAGTTCCCAGATGCATCAGAGCATTTGCAGGCAGGGCAATGGCCCACTGTGTTACCACGTCATTTTTCTAAGAGCCCAGGATGCAGAGAAGCCTGCCAAGGGGCCCATGCACAGCAGAGCCAGTCATGGGCGGAGGTCTGGGCCCTGGTGTTAGAGTTGATGGACAAAGGACTTGGTATGGACAGAGCACCAAGGAGTGGAGCTTGCCTCCCTTGGATCCCTCCAGGCAGACAGGCTTCTCAGGCATTTGTAAGAAGGACCTGTATTGTAGGACACTCCATGCAGGGGCCTGTCGCCTGCAGAAGGAGCTGCAGCACATGCCCTCTGGAACTGCTGGAGGTGGAGAGGAGCTGTCCCTAGATGGAGGGGGACTTCTGGCTCTGAGTGCTGCAGCTCATCTCGTAGCCCGAGGCAGTGCCTGGCAGGATGACTAACTGTACACGCTCCCAGCATAAGGAAGTGGTGCTCTGACCCAGCTCTCATAGGTAGACATGACTTCCAATGCGCAGACTCAGGGGGGATCTGAGAGAGCAGAGTGCTCAGCATTGTGAAATGTGGTCAAGTTCACACTCCATGGGGGGGCAGGCCAGGTCTGCAGTGCGGGGGCGGGGGGGGGGGGCAGCTGCCCTGGTCTCCTGGCTTGTACTTTCTGAGGTGTAGGGTAGCTGGGGACAGGTCTCAGAGAAGACAGAACATGTCCTGGCAAATGTGGGAGGTGAGGGTAGGGGTGGGGGCAACGAGCCTATGCGGATGTAGGGGTGGCCACCATGGACAAAGAATTCCCAGGGAGGGACATCTCACAAGGGGATGGTTCCCATCAGAAATGCTTTTATGGCACTTTATAATTAAATTTCCTTAATTACTTCCTACTAAAAAAAATTAAAGGCTTATATAAATTAAACATACATCATCCTAACATTTCCAAAAAAGTGACAGTGGGATATTTCCTGTCCTCACAAAACCAGAGGGAATCACACTGGCCACTTACCCTCTGCCAGTTACTGCCTTTGCTTCTCCCTGCAGCTCTATAAAAACCTGTGGGCAGCTGTCCTGCAGCAGGACGGTGTGTTGGAGCGTGCCACCTGGTGGCCTGAGTTCACTACCAACAAACCCTTGGCCAGCAGGCTGAAGTCCCAGCTGTAGACATGATGGGAGAGGCGGCCACAGCAGAAGCGGCTGATCCAGAGGCCTGGACCCAGGACACCAAGATACCCACGCTGAAAACCATGCACACCATGCCTCTTCCTGGTCCCTAGTCAACCTGTCACCCCCAACTTCAAATGGGGACAGGTCATGTCTCATGTACAGGGTCAGGGAGTTTGCACAGTGTGTCTCCCTGAGGGTCTTGGGATTTTAGTGAAGGATTTTACCCATGCTCTCTTGGGATACAGATAGGAAGGAAAAGTCAGGGCTCACAATGAAGGCTTCTGCTCGGGAACTTTGGGGTCCATGGGAGATTTTTGCAAAGCTCTAGTCTCTATTCTGCCTTCTGATTCTTTAACCCTTCTGTGCTGTGGCCATACCTCTGTTTACTTGTCACTTATGGCTCTGTACCATGGAGCATGAGAATGATGTCATTTGAAGATTTTTATGGGAAAACTGCTTTATTACTTATTTTGGTGGCACCAGAAGTTTCCCTGAGGAAGTGCCCCTGTAGATGAAGGGATCCCACAGAGGAAGGGTTCCACAGAGGAAGGGCTCCCACTGAGGAAGTGCCCCCACAGAGGAAGTGCCCCCACAGAGGAAGTGCCCCCACAGAGGAAGTGCCCCCACAGAGGAAGGGCTCCCACAGGGGAAGGGCTCCCACCGAGGAAGGGCTCCCACAGGGGAAGGGCATGGTGGTGGGGACATCTAGCCTATTCACCATGACATCCCCACTGTGTCAGTGACAGGGTGGCAGTGGTTTCAGTCCTTTTATTTCTAAAACAGGGGCAATGCCCGGTGCCATCTGTCCCCACCTAGCATCCCTCAGCAAATTCACACATGACATGACCCTGCTACATGGCCACCGCCAGACCCTAGTGCTTCTGAGAGCTATGGGGGCCGTGCTGCCGTCCTTTCCCGCTGTAGGAAGGATCCTGTCCTCTTAGCCTTTCCGATGGGCTGTTCTGAGCCCCAGGTGCTTGCTGAGCCCGAGTCTCTGTCTTCAGCACCTTGCTCTTGGTCAACCTCCCCACCCCCCGCCCTGGCTCAGCCCCCTCCCAGAGTTCCACTCCAGCCCAGTGGCATGGGTGGGCTCTGGGGACCGCCAACTGGAGTCCCTGTGGAACATGGGAACCATGTGTTCACAGATGATCCCCTCCACTTGGATCTGTGGCTTTTCCCAACAGGGAGGACTAAGTCTTAGGTCTCCTTGGGTCCTGCCAGCTCTTGGGGTTTGTGCTTACCCCTCCTGCCGCACAGTGGTCACCTCAGTCACCTGTGTGGGTGACTTGGTTTTTGTGTGTGTTGGGGGGGGGGAGCTTGGTTTACTATCCTGTCTGATTGGAGGCTGACCAGCATGTCACAGAAGTGGCTAAGGTCGGTAGAGTGTGGCATTAAGATAAGTCACGTGGTTCCCGGGGTGAAGCAGTCTGACTGCAGAGCTTCCATTGGTGGCTCCGATGCCCACAGAGTTGAAGTGATGAAAAATGTATCAGCAGTGATAACTTCTGGGGGAGGAAGGGTCAGTTTTCTTTTAAGAGTGGCCACTGGTGGGTTGACCATGCTCTATTGCATGTTCACACACCCGAGAGCTTATGTGCAGGCACAAAGAGGACTTGATGGATTTTTTAAAAATGTGTGTGTGTGTTTTCATATCCACCCATTGGGTATGTCTTTGTCCCTGGGGCAGAGACTGGCTCTCTGGACACCCAGACTTCGATGGATGTCCTGTTAGCTTGCAGGCATCACATGCCTTGCAAGGATGAAGCCTGTATCCTTAGTCACTGCCAGGGTGCATGTGCTCCACTCCTGTTCTGAGGGTGAGGCTGGTGGCATGTGAAACAGGCCTGTGGGCAGGAGCCACATTATTAAGACAGACTTGTAAAGGTCCCTTAAAAAATGAAACATTTATAAACAGCAGTAAAAACTTGAATAATTGCAATAAAGTGTTGAAATTGAAGCCCTGATTTCTCCTCTTGTGTCTGGGTGCTGTTGGGCAACAGCCGAGTTCGAAGAAGAAAACACGTTCCTGGCGACCTCACACCTTACTCATTTACTTTGGTCACAAGGCACAGAGCCTGTTCTGTGTCTGTTAGCTCCTGTCAAGTTCCCTCCACCCAGGAGAAGCTGGAGCAGTGGGAGTGACCTGTGTTGTGTGGTCCTCTTGCCTCTCCCAGGGATCTCCATCATCGCCTGGCTTTGCATCACCAGGTGTCATGTTAGCATGCATCCTATTAGATGCTGTGTGTGTGTGTGTGTGTGTGTGTGTGTGTGTGTGTGTGTGTGTGTGTGTGTGTGTGTGTAGGGGTATCTTTTCCCACTTGTAAGGATGGTGTGGCTGTTTCCTCCACCAAACCACATGGACCTCCAAGGTTATCAGCCTCTTCCTGAGAGACCTGAGGCTGGAAGCTTGCACTCTGATCTCACTATGCCTGACACAGACACACCTGTTATGTCCTTGCATGTGGCTAGCTCTGGCTAGCTCTTAGAAGGGGCTTGCTGGGACTCACTCTGTACCCTCTGCTGTAGGACTTTGAATACCAAGTTGCCATAGAAGAGTAGAGACAGGATGAGCAGCGGCCAGTCTCAACGTAAGGAAAGGCACCTTGTTGCTTGCATTGTGTAAGCACAAACACCAGCACATCGGTGAGAGCTCACAAGTCAGAGGCTGGCAAGAGATGCACTCGGTCAGCCTCCTCCCCAGCGGCTTCCCCAGGAAGGCAGGTTCTTCACGTCCTCAGGGTGGAAGCATTTCCCAGCAGCCGGCAAACCTTCCCATCTGCCCTTGATACTGCCTCAGTGGGTCCCCTGTATGTCCTCTCTCACCTTACAATGCATCCCCATTTGTTCTTGCTGCCCTGTGGTAGCACCTGTTCTTAGATTATTTTAAAAATATTTAGGTGCGTGTGCATTTTGTATGTGTGAATACAGGTATGTGTGTACCCCGGAGTACGTGTAGAGGTCAGAGGATGACCTCTGGGGCCAGTCCTCCTTTCCACCGTTAGAGTCACTGTGCACAGCACGTGAATGTGAGTCCCTCCCTGCCACCTTGCTGTAGAAGCTCTGACTGTAGACACACATGACCACACACAGCTGGATGTGGGCTCTGGGGCTCTGACCCACATCTCCATGCTTCTGTGACCAGCCCTTTTCCCACTGAGCAATCAATCCCCTTAGCTCCCGGTTTCGTTCTTTGTCTAAGGGAGCAGTCAAACTCAAGTGTTGTGTCTGTAAATTGTTTGTTTCTTAGTTTGGTTTTCAGACAGGGTCTGTCTCCATAGCCCAGCCTACCCTGGAACTTGCTTTGTAGAACAGGCTAGCTTCAAACTCACAGAGATCTGCCCGCCTCTGCCCAAATGCTGGGATTCAAGGCGTGAACCACCACACCAGTCTATCTGTAAAGCATTTTTATATATGGAAAGTAGAAAACCTTAGATAGTCTTTGTCAATTCTTTTCCTTCATCATTTGCCTTGCAATGTGTTAGCTTTCTCAATTGACTTCAAATAGCTTAAGCTTTAAAGCAAGAACTATTTCTACCCTGAAAGCCCAGGAAGCATGTGTGCTCCAGCCTTGGAAGTCACACATCGGAATTCATCTCAGGCCAGGATCGTTTTCATTTTCATGAATTTGTCGTTGGGTACATTTCAGGATTTATTGACAGGGGAGTGGTCGGGATCAGATAGACTGAGATGGCCAGCTTGTTGAATCATGCACAGGCCTGAATTCTTGAGTCATTGAAGGTGAGACTCCCTCTTGTGTTCCTGTGCCTCTGTGTTGTATTGTCCCTTTCACATTAGCTGCCCACCCCCTCTTTTGTTGTTTGTTTGTTTTTTGAGACAGAGTTTCTCTGTGTAGACTAGGCTGGCCTGGACCTCGGAGATCTGCCTGCCTCTTAGCATCTCTTGCTTCCAGTATTCTGGTCCTCAACTTTCTGTTTTCAGTGTGGCAAGGAAAGGCTCATCTCTTACCTTTTTCAGAAATCCCTTGGGTAATTGAACTTGACTTCTCCAGCCCACAGATCCAAAGGGTTCTTTGGGATTCATTTGGAGGTTCTGCTTACCTGACAGGCCAACGCCAGGAGAAAGTCTGTCTTTATAGGAAGGTTGTCTTTCCATCCGGGCTGTTTCTTCAGTCTGTCTTACTTATTTTTATTTTGTTTTGTGTATATGGGAGTTTTGCCTGCATGCATGTCTGTGTACCACATCCCTACCTGGTACCCACAGAAGTCAAAAGAGGGTGTCAAATGCCCTGGAACCAGAATTGCAGACAATTAGCTGCCATGTTGGTACTGGGAATCAAACCCAGGTCCTTTACAAGGAGTAGCCAGTGCTTTTAACTGCTGAGCCATGTCTCCAGTCCTATGGCTGATTTTCCAAGGATTCCAACTTTCTATTTCTCTGTGTTGTGCTCAGGAATTTCAGTGTCATCATGTGACATTGGAATGCCCTTTGACCTTTGCTAGGGGCATGTACATAGACTAACTTCAGTATCTAGTGGTGGAAAACCTCTACCAGCCTCACCATTTGGTGGGTTTGGGTGACACTGTGTTGGAGCCCACTCAGTTTCCTAGTGGCTGTACCCAGCAGGACTGCATAAGAGGTTGAGTGGACCATGGGCCTGGGTACCAGGTGACTGTAACTAGCAAGGGGGAGGTCTTTTGCTCCACCCCTTGGCATTGTTACAAATAGACCTTTGGAATAAAGTTCTGGGCTAGTGGATAAGGATCCAGGGCCACCTAAGCCTATCCCGTGTTTTCTCTCTGTTTCTCTCCTATTTCTAAGTCTCTTATCCCTCATTTTTCAAGAGTTCCTGGGGTACATAATGGTGGGGGCCGGTCCTCAACAACACTGTGAGAAATAAGTTAACCATTTCAAAGGACTCTGGTCACTGTCTCAGAGCTAAGGGTAAGCTGTAGAGACTGACTCCAATGCTGGGGCAGGGGGAGTGGCCTCGTTGTCTCTGAGGAGCCCCTTGTCTCGGCTGGGCCACCTCTATGGACCCGATTCTTGAGCCAGCATGTGGGATGTCACAGAGCAAAGACCGAAACTAGCCCGCGAGTGTTGCAGAGTAAAGGGGTAGGACAGCTGCAGGCTGAGGCTCTGAGCACTAGGTCCTGGGGGGCCTCACTGACCCGGCTGTCCCCCTGTGCCTGCAGGTCTCAGGTGGAAGGTGGAGAGCATACAGTGTTCTAAGAGGAGACATCTGGAGTGCCCAGGTGCAGCCCTCCCGCCCAGATAATATTCTGCAACTCTTAAACTCCATGAGCTGCATGGTGCCAGAGCAGAGCATCCTCAGAGCCCCTGTGTAATGCAAGGTGGTCATGTCTGGGAGAGGACCCATCTCCCCTGGCTGCCTTACTGAGCCTTGGCTACCAGTGCCCTTGGGCCCTGCCTTCTGTTACACTTGCTGCCTTTAGTGAGTGGCAAAACTTCTCTGCCTGCTTGTGAGTGTTGTGTCTCACTGGACTCTGTTCCTCTGCAGCTGCCTTCTGGCTACCAGCATCCTAGCTGCTCCCAGCAGGTGAGCCCAGCACAGGCACCCACAGAGGTGCCTCTGTTCCTTTGGGACAGAAGTATCCTTACTCTCAGTTACTCCAGCTGCCGAGTGACCCTGGAGCAGTCTCTGCTGTGTCCTGATCCTACTCGGCAGCCACTTGCTGTCACTGAAACATACATCAGGGCATTTCCTTCAGGCTCAGGGCTTAGATCTTAAGTCCAAGAGGTCAGGGCGGCTCCAGGGAAGAATCCATCCAGAGTCCCCTGTGGCTTCCCAGGAATGCTCAGCTGCCCTGTTCCCAGGCAAGTGCAAGTACTGACTCAAGGAAGTTTCTATATCACCACCTCCTCCACCGCCCCTCGCCCTCATCATAGCAGCTGCCGGGAAAGTGACTCAGTTTGCCATGTGATGCTCAGAGAAGTTTCCAGTACAGTGGTCAAGGGAGGATCAGCAGGAAAGGCATGCATGCATGAAGGGAAGTCAAAGTATGAGATGGCCCCTGTGCTTACACTTAGGCTCATGACACTGAGGGCGGCACTCCTTCCTGGGTGGCTTGGTGCTGAGCCACTGGTGCTGGGCTTGGAGTGGAGTCCGCTTGTCCTTTTGATGGGGTTCACAAGAGTGTTTTAATACAGTCAAGCAGGGACCAGTGTGCTGTTTGCTTTGTGGGAGGAGACCATGGATAGACTTACAAGGCTGGGTGCTTCAGGGCATGAAAACAAAATCCCAGAATGAGCCCCGCTCACCACCTAATAATCTGTTGGTCACTTTGCTCTGCAGAATTTTTAATTCAGTTTGCAAAAGACCCTAATGTTTATGCAAAAGCCCTAATGTTTATTCAAAATTTAAAAATTTGTTGATCCAGAACAAGGTTTTTAAACTTTTAGGAGGATTTCTCTATGCTGTCATCCTCTGAGGAGGGGATACTGTCCAGGTAGACACCCTTCCTTTCAGCCCCTGGGAGAGGTGTAGCTACAGGAAGAGTGGGCTCGTGGCCTGGGCAGGAGGCCCAGGTCCAAATCCAAGCTTGATCACTTGCTACGGTCACGCTGACCTTTCTGCACTTCACTTCCTCTGTATTAAAACTACCAAGTGCCATCCCACTGACTAGTATGGACTGATTGAGACAATGTGTGCCAACATCCCAAACACAATCTGGGACACAGGAAAGACCTATGGCCCACTGGACTGAACTTGAGCCAGAGGAATGCCCATTCTTTCCACATCCTTGGGCAGTTTGGCTTCCAGGCCTGAATCTGGGGAAGAAGTCAGCAGCCAATGGTCCTAGGACAGGGAGGGCCTACCTTTGGATCTGATGGAGACCCAAAGTAGAGGGAGATGAGTGGCCCTGCCTTGTGCTATTTTTCTTCTTGTCTAGTACACATAGCTCTGCCCTCAGCTTCCCCCATGCCCACCATGGAGCTGAGCTTCTTCTAGAACCAGAGTTGCCAAATGATGTGTTC